AAAAAAAAAAAAAAAAAATCAAAAAGAAGAGAAAGATATTTAGCAAAGCATGCGCCTCAACACCCTGTGAGCCCTACTCAGTTTGGTTAAACCTTGTGAGCCTAACCCTAAAGCCCAAAGCCTAAAAAGCACCCTAATCACCCTAAGCCCCCCTTGAGCCCTGACCTCTGAGGCGCACGGACGGCTACACCTGGTCTTCGGTGCTCAGCGCCTGCGAGCAGACACACGACTGGGTGGCTTGGGTGCTTCGCTCCCTAAGCCCGACCATGCCTCAACCCGCAAACCTTGAGTCTCTGAAAAAAACCCTGAGCCAAACCCAAAAGCCCCAAAACTTCTAAGCCCCTAGGCCCCAAAACCCTAAACCCCTAAAGGCAGAACTGCCCCAGGTCGTCGTATTGGCTCTGCTGTCCGCCATGCGAACCAAGAAGATTCGCTTGGACTGTGGCCTTAGATTGAAGGTTTTGGGGCTCGCGGCTTTCGGGTCTAGAGGGTGCAGGATTTATATAGGCGTTACAGGGTTGATGGGGTTTGGTGTGTTAAGCGAGGGGCCTCTGGGTTCTGGTTCTAGTGGTTTTGGTTCAGGATTGTAGCCTTGGGATGCCGCGAATCTTCACATATTCCTGCCCGACTGAGGCCTTCAGCACGAACCCCCCACCCCTTCCCCCACTCGAGGTCTAGACCTTAAACTTCAACCTTCCACGCCTGCAGAACTAAAGGTTCGGGTTTCTTCTGGCTTGTGCGCGAAATCCCGAATCTTGTGCCCACGACATAACTATACAACGCCATGCTCAGACCATTTTGGGGGGCTTCCGCTTGCATTGCTGAGCTTGGCAGGACGCCGTGTGCTGCAGTGCTTCCATCAACGCATGCCAGCAGCTGTGAACGAATCCATGGTTTTTGTTTGATCACAGGGTTACTGCAACTCGACCCAAACTTAACCCCCAAACCCCTTTATGCCCTCCTAAACCCCTAACACCTACAGGGCCTGTAACCCTGAATCCTCAAAAGGCTCGTGATTTTGGGGTTTAGGCGATTTTTTTGAGGACTAGCGGATGTAGCTTAGGATTGAGCATTCACAGCTTATGAGGTTTACGGTGGTTGCGGGTCTAGGAGTCAGGGTTTCCCCTTAAACCCTATCAGGTCGCAAGTCCCCCGTGCCGGTCCTAAAGCAAAGGTCTCAAACGCCTGACCCCACGTCCTAGAAACCTTAAGGTCCTGAACCTCTAAGGCCCTGAGGCCCAGAGGCCCAGAGGCCCTAAGGCCCTAAGGCCTTAAGGGTCTAAGGCCCTAAGGCTCTAAGGCCCGAAGGCCCTGAGGACCTGAACCCACTGAGACCTAAGGCAAGCGGAGCAGTGGGTTCGTGCCCTGGCGCTCTTGCATAGCATGGTCTCGGAGGGCATCCCACAGACCCTTGGCCGCCACCCATGCTTAATGCCTTGGGTTCCGGGTTTAGGGTTCAGGGCTTGGGGGCTTAGGGGCTTAGGGGTTTGGATGTTAAGATTCAGGGTTCAAGGGTCCAAGAGGTTAGGGAGAAGGGGCAGGGAAGTATCAGGGGTTTCGCATTTCGCATTCAGGGGCTCAGGGGATAGGGGTTGAGGAGTCGGGTTAAGAGCTTCGGGGAAAGTTTTTTTTGTCAATTTGTCAAACCTCAAGTCTTTATGGACCATGATGAAAGATGAAGGCTAACAACTGTACACCCTAACAAAGAACTGAACCCCAAAATCCTGCACACCAACTCTGAACCCAAGTCTAAAACCCTTCGGAAAGCCCGAAGCCCTCCACCCTAAACCTCCCCATGAACCCTATAAACCACACACCCACATTCAGACCCTAAACCCCCCATGAACCCTAATATTCCACACACCCAAATTACAAACCCTGAGCCGGGAGGAACACTGTGACCTTCAACGCTGCGATCAGCGCCTGCGAGGGGGCCGGGAAGTGGCAGGCTCGGTTTGGGCTGCAGGGGCTTCTGCCTCTAGGGCCCCTGGTTCCGAAACCTGAGGATTCAGGGTTTTTAAAGGTTGACGTGTTCAGGGCTGTAGAGCTCTAGGGTTCTTAGGGTTCAGGGTTCAGGGTTTAGGGTTTAGGGTTTAGGGTTTAGGGTTTAGGGGGTTTGAACATTTAGGCTTGTAGGGTTTTAGGCTTACAGGGATTCAGGTTTGTAGGCTACGGGGGTCAGGAGAGCCTTCCTGCTCTTTGCCGCGTTTTAGCTTTGGCTTGCTGGGTCTTAGGGGGGAATCAGGGAACCAAGAATCCTACAGAATCTCTTATAGGGTATAATACAGAGAAAGATAGATAGGGGTTATAAGGTGCCTAATTCCCGACTGAGCACTAGTGAATTGAAGCTATCTTCGTGCTCTTGCCAGGAAGCCCTTTCCTTGCTTGACATGATGGGCACCGGGTCACACCAGACACCTGGCACTAAACACCCTCAACACCCAAACGCCCTACACCACACCTGGCACTAGGCACCCTAAACACCCTAACCCTAAGAACCCTAATGAACCCTAAGAACCCTAAGCACCCTAAGCACCCTAAGCACCTTAAACACTCCAAACACCCCGAAAGACGTCTAAACACCCTCAACACCCTGAAAACCCTTAGCTGGTTCCTAAACCCTAAACCCTAAGCTGCGGGAGTGTCGGTGCCTGGGATTTGAGGTTCGGGGTTTCAGAGTGATTTCGGATGCGAGTTTCAATGCACTGGGCCCTAACTCTTAATTCTTAAGGGCTGAAAGGAGGGCTTGGGATGCTTTGGGGGTTTTGGGGTTTGGGGTTTAGACTTTGTGGTACTTTACTATAACTTTAGATCTTTAGCTTTTTTGGGTTTATTGGGTTTCTTTAAGGCAGTTAAAAATTTAATTTATAGCTACCCTCCTAAGTGCAGCCAAGTAGAGTTTAACCCGAATGAAGCCTTCAAGGGTTTGGCGTGGCATAAAAGCAACAGCCGCTGAAACCCTAAGCCCGAAACCGTCGAAGCAGCAAAAGCTCCCAGCCTCTCCCCCCCCAAAAAAAAACAACAACAAGAGGGAACATGAACAACACAAAAGCAGTCTTACAGGGATCTACAGTGCTGAAACCCAAAGAACAAAGTCTAGGGTAGAACCTGAAAACACTATCTCCTACCCCGAGGAGGACGACGATCAGCTACAACGCCGCCATGAGCGCCTGCGGCTCTGCAGGGCACTGGTCGCCACCTCAGCAGTACTGCGGTTTGGGGTTTTTCAGGCTTTTAGGACCATGTAGGCTTGTTTGGCTTCTAGGGTCTTTCAGGGTGTTTTTTTCAGGGTTTTAGGTTGTTTTTTTTTTTTTTTTACGGGTTTGGGGGGCTCTGGCTTTAGGCTTATATAAGTTTTTGTGATCAGAGGGTTGTGGTGAGAGTTAGGTATTGCCAGCGGAGGGAGGCCCCGAGCTCTACACTGTGCCAGCACTGTATTTCTAAACACCGGACGCTGGCCCCTGAGCACTTCCTGGCGTCGAATCCTAAGCCCTAAAACATCATTTTAGGGCGGTTTGTGTGAGAGATCTTCTTAAGGGAAAGCAGCGCATTGACAGGAGTACCTCAAGCCGTGCAAGGGCTGTTGTGTTTTCACTGTGCCAGCCCAAGCATTAGAAGCAGCAATCGCTTGCAAGGGTCAAAGAAAGGGGGAACTTCGTGCTGAACCATGTGGCACATTGTGGCACTGGAAGCCCCGCTTGGAAACCCAAATCTGCATGTGGCCGCCGGCGTGTGTGGCATTAGAAGCTGCAGGGTGTAGGGTTTAGGGTTTGGGGTCGTGCAGGGCTTCTGGAGGGTTTAGGGTTTTGGGATTCAATCTTCTCGCAGAGGCCCTTGGTCTTGGAGCTCTTCAACCAGATGACCAGCGAAGACCTGGCAAGCTCCTGAGCCTTTCTCTTGACCATCGTGTTTGGGATCTAAACTTAAGGGGCAACCATGGGCAACCCCAGATCCTGAGTGTTAAGCCATGAGCCCGAAGCCAACATCCCCCAACATCCCCCCGCACTGTAAAGCCCTAGAGGCCCAGCACGTGATATGAGGCAGGATACTTGCTATTGGTTGCCCCAGAAGGACGCCCAATGTAATCACCCAAGGATCTTCAGGAAAGATAGCTACACTCACCGATGCAACATTCCAAGCCCTTATCTGCCACATACGGCTGAAACGCTAAACCTCAACACAGTCTTTGAAGCGCTAAACAGCCCTGAGAATCCCTGAGCGCCAAAGACCCCTCCACAGCCCTATAAAGACGCAAAAGCCCAACTAAGCCCTTGAGAACAACTGTCCCAACCTTGAACCCTCAAGCCTTAGCAACAACATTTTCCAAACACGTCGTAGACCCTTGAACCCCAAACCTTGCAGTCCCTGCAGAAGCCCTGAAAACACGTAGCGGGCTGCCAGTACAAACCCTTTAAACTCTCACACCCCAAAAGCCCTTCTCAAATGCTCCTATGACATCTCTTCCCTTAAATGCACATTGTCTGACCCCCTGAACCCCTCGGTCTACAAACCTTAACCGACAATGCCTCAAATCCCTCACAGGAGGCCACGGAGATCTCGGCGGCCGCAGCTCTGGCGCCCCTTGCGGCGGCCAGTGCCTGGGGCGCGGCGCTGGCTCTGGCGGAGGCGCTTCCGGTAACACTGTACTACGGTTAAATATTCTAGAATCGGTCAGTCATGCGTAGTTGTGAGGGGAAGTCTGCTTTATCATTCTTACAACTATTGGCGTTATGATCGTTCCTGACACTAACCTGGCCATTTTCATTTTTATTGTCATGTGCAGCTTCTCGTTTTCCACACATTGCTATCGTGGTAGGGGCAGCCTCAGTAGCAGCACCGGCAGTAGGAGTTGGAGTCGGAGTCGGAGTAGGAGTAGGAGTAGCAGCAGGAGCAGGAGTAGGAGGACGAGTAGGAATAGGAGTGGGAGTAGGAGTGGGAGGTAGGAGTAGGAGCTAGGAGGAAGGAGGTAGGAGGAAGGAGGTAGGAGGAAGGAGGTCGGAGGAAGGAGGTAGGAGTAGGTCCGGAGTAGGTAGGAGGAGGTAGGAGGTAGGAGGAAGGAGGTGGGAGGTAGGAGGCAGGAGGTGGGAGGTAGGAGGCAGGAGGCATGAGGTAGGACTGCAGGAGGTAGGAAATAGGAGGTATACGAGGTAGGAGGTAGGAGCAGGAGATGTGGGTTTGTTTGAGGTCTTAAGGCTTACCTGTGCTTAGCTCTGTGCTTTTGTGCTGTGTGGTTTTTCCCCCCGAGCGGCTCCAACATGCCTTTGCCGCCGTCGTCCGTGTTTGCTGGAAAGAAAAAGCAATTAAAGGTCATTGACCAACAGCTGCAAAACACAGACGACAAGAATCAGCGTGCGAAAAGGGCTCCGTGGTCTTTCGTTTTGGGCGTCTTGGTTGGGTTTAGGGTTTAGGGTTTCAGGGTTTGAGGGTTTTCAGGCAGAAGTCCGCGTAGAGCGCTCTCTGGAAGATCTTCGGGGTCACGCCCCTCCTGGATGTTGGGGTGCAGGTCATCGAGCGGCGGGGACTTCTTCTGAATTCCGCGGTCTACGAGTGCGCCATCGAGGCATGTTTCTAGAGCTTTGGAGTGTTTTGGGTGCAGGGCTAGGCTGCGGGAGTTGGGGCTTTGGCTTAGGCTCAGGAGTTTCATGATCAGCCCAACCCTCAATCCTCAGCATGGATGTCTCTCTTGGTGCAGTCTTAACAAACAGAGGGATGTAGTATGGATGACGGATTGATCAGTTGTGGGGTGGGAGCCTTGGCGCCCCTAGTTCCCGAAGCCTAAACCTTACGTCCCAAATTCTAGACCCCAAGCCCTTAAACCTTAAACCCCAAACCCCAAAACCCCAAAACCCCCAACCCCAAACCCCAAACCCCAAGCCCCAAACTCCAAACCCCAAACCCCAAGCCCCAAACCCCAAACCCCAAACCCAACCCAAACCCCCAACCCCCAACCCCCAACCCCCAACCCCAAACCCCAAACCCCAAACCCCAAACCCTAAACCCTAAACCCTAAACCCTAAACCCTAAGCCCTAAACCCTAGACCTTACAACCCTAAAGCCTTGAAACCCCCAAAGCCTCAACCTCCCGAAGGCCTTGAGCCGGGGCAGCGGCGGCGGGGGCCGCGTCGCCGAGCTGATGGCTGGCAACTCGCTGCTGGTTTCGTGCTTCTAGGGCTTTAGGGCTTGTCTAGGGTTTAGGGTTTATTTAGGGTTTAGGGTTTGGGGTTTAGGGCTTGGGTTTTGAGGCGTTTCTCTAGGGTTTGGGGTTTAGGCTTCAATTATTGTTTCTGTAGCCTTCGGGATTGTTTTAGGGCGTTTCCGCATGTAGCGTGTTTGGGGTTGAGCCCGACAAGAAATCCTGGAGTTCCTCAAACCCATAAAAACCCCAAGATAAGCCCCTTAAACCTCTATAGTGCAAACCCGAACCCTGAACCCTATAAACCTCACATACACCAAACCTAAGCCCGGTGGTGGCTATATCAGCCTATATGAACCGTTCATGGCCCTGATCATGGAATGCGGCGATCCCCGTAGTTATAAGCCTGCTAAGCGAGTAAAATACCGCCTAAGAGGCTTGAGAGCCTCCATGATAGACATGCATCTTTTCTATACATTTGCAAATGTATCTTTTCGTGATATAGACATATACACATTTATTTGCGTCATAATTACATATATGTGTCTATCTCTCTCTTTCTCTCTATACATATATATATATATATATATATACATATATATATATATTCTGAATAGTAGGCTATATATATATATATATAGCATATATATATATATATATATACATGTATTCTGAATAGTAGGCAGAATAGCCTCAAGACAAATGACTTGCAGGTCTCGACACGTTCGCTGCGGAAGTGCTTCACTCGGCGCCGGGTGGTGGGCGGCAAAAGAAGTGCCGAGCTCCTGGGTTTGGGGTCGAGAGTCTGGGTTGAGGGTTTAATTACCCCTAACCCTAAACCCTAAACCCTAAACCCTAGACCCTAAACCCTAAACCCTAAACCCTAAACCCTAAACCCTAAACCCTAAACCCTAAACCCTAAACCCTAAACCGAGGATTTAGGGTTTGGGGTTGGCAGTCAGTCTCGTCTCTCGGAAGCCTACAGGAACCCCTTTAACTTGTTGGCTTTGAATGAAAGCCGACAGAAAGTTGTAGTTGCAGCCCTCCAGCATGAATCTCCTCTTCCTTCCTCGCTTGCCCATCTCGACCCCTCCCCCTGATATTTAGCAAAAGAGAAGCAAAAATGGATGAATGGAGCAACGTATGTGTGTTTGTCTATTTATCAATCCCATTCATGCACGCGGATCATCTGAATAATGGGAATGCTGAATACTGTGTTGGGGGTGTATGGGAGGGGTTGGGAGCGGTAAAATATGTTGGCTGGGCAACCTGAGTGTTCGTTTTGAGGTCTTCAAATCTTGAGTTTGCACTTTGGGGTTGTGCAGGATGTAGTGCGGACGATCCTGAGGTATCTTGGAGCCGCCAAGGAAAGACAACCTGAGTCCAGGTCTGTGCTGCAGAGGGGTTGAACGCAACCGGCTTTGGCTTTCGGCTCTTGGCAGACTGAAATTCTGGAAAAGTGGCATCCAGCCCAAGTTCGAGGATCGAGCGGCCCTCGATCGTTCAACCTACTTGAAATTGCGTTACTGTCATGATTCTACCATTATTCCAAGAAGGAACATGACTTCTTCAATCTCCTTAGCACACCAGTCCAGACATGTCCACAAACGGAACGTCGAGCATTGGCCTCGCTCATGGAGACCGGTCCGACTCAGTTGTTGGAGGCGCACTTGTCCTTGCCCCAAATGTCAGGTTTTCGGGTAAAGAGCCGGTTAAGTAGACACAGATCTACATCCGTATGTTTACGGTATAAGGTATGCTCTAGTATGCCGAAAATTAGCATCTATGTATCGAGTCCTCATCTGGGTTCCAGGCACACTTGAGCTTAAGAACCATAAACCCAAGACCCTAAACCACAGAAACCCTAAGCCCCGAGGCTCAAACCCCGTACCCGAAAGCCTAGAAGCCCGAAGACCCTGCTACATCCTAAAATCCTGGGAGCCTTAAAAGCTCCCAAGCTTCAAGCTGCTGAAGGGAGGAGGCGAAGAGGCATCGGGTATGTGGGGGGCTCAGGATGCAGGTGCTGGGACAGAAAGTGGAGGGCTGAGGGAGCAGGGTTCTCAGGCTGTTAGTGTTCAGGGTTCCAAAGTTTATGGTCAGGGTTCTTAGGGTTCAGGGCTGCGTTTTTTTGCATTGTTTAGGGTTCTTGGTGTTTAGGGTTGAGGGCTAAGGCCCAAAGAATTTGTGGTTTCTAACTCTTTCTAGGGCCTAGGTCTGAAAATTCCCTTTTGGGGTTGAAGGCGTGAAAGGGTTGAGCGTCTTTGGCTAAGCTGCTTAAGAACCTCATTCACAACTATTAGAGTTTAGGGTTGAGAGTTTAGGGTCCATTTAGGGTCCATATACCCTGAAAGGGAGCCGTAGGGCGCCCTAAGCCCTAAACCCAATTCAGGGAAGATATGGCAGGCCACCCTCCCTTGACGCCATGCACGGCGTGCACAACGAGGCCTGCTTGGCGTGCTCCCATGCGCTGGAGGGTTCTTTTTCGGTGGAAAGCCCAACTCTTTCTCTGTGGGCCTGCAGCTGCGCTCCCTGAGGGCTCATCTGAAGTGACATGGTCATCGATGACCTGGCATTTGTGGCTATAAGCCTGCAAGCCTTGTCAAATACATCCTAAACCTGAAGCACGAATCCCAAACTATGACAACAACATCCCCCCCTGCCCCCCTCCCCCCCCCTCCCCCGCAGCCACCCTAGGTCATGTCCTCGTCGTCGTGCGGCCTGGAGCACAACAAGGATCTTTAATAGTTCAATAGGGGGGGTATCCCGGGTTGAAACGTTTTATTCATTTTTTTTGGAGGGGGGGGGGGAGTGTGGGACCCTAAAACCCCTCTAAACCCATTTCCATCCAAGCCATTGCGACTCACGGAGTTTGCAGCCACTGTTAGGAACTGTCTGCAATTTCGGGTTTAGGGTTGGGATGTTCCCCCTTATACGAACAGTCCTGAAAAGGGATTATGACTGCTAGTATAAGGGGAACAATTTCAGGTTTAGGGTTTATAGGGTTCAGGTTATAGGGTTTAGGGCCGAAGGGCCCCCTCCGGTGGGTTGCCCTAACCTAAACCCTACCGAAGTCCTGCCCCCCCCCCCCCCCCCCGGGGCCCCCCCCCCCCCCCCCCGCCGCCTCCACATCCCCCCTCCACCCTCCACCCCTCCCCCCCCGAAGGACAAACACCAAGCCCCAAAACCCCAAACCCCTCTTAAATCCCTGAACCCTCCAAGCCCTAAACCCCTAAAACCCTCAAAACCCTGAACCCTTCAAAACCCTAAACCCCTAAAACCCCAAAACCCTGAACCCCTCAAAGCCCTAAACCCTCAAACCCCAAAACTCTAAACCCCTCATGACATCCTGTGGTTCCCCCCCCCAAACCCTAAACCCTAAACCCTAAACCCTAAACCCTAAACCCTAAACCCTAAACCCTAAACCTAAACCCTAAACCCTAAACCCCAAACCCCAAACCCTAAACCCTAAACCCTAAACCCTAAACCCTAAATCCTCCCCCCCAAAAAAAGAGCACGGGGGGGAAGGATCGGCGAAGTGCCAGCCAGGGCGGCTCCAAGGTTCCGGCAGTTGCCTGGCTATGCCTTGGGGTTTTAGGGGTTTTAGGGGTTGTAGGGGTTTTAGGGGTTTTTGGGGGGTTTTAGGGGTTTTAGGGGTTTTAGGGGTTTTAGGGGTTTTTTGGGGGGTTTTAGGGGTTTTAGGGGTTTTAGGGGTTTTAGGGGTTTTAGGGGGTTTAGGGGTTTTAGGGGTTTTAGGGGTTTTAGGGTTTAGGGCCTTGGGGTTTAGGGTTTGGGCTTTAGGGTTCGGGGTGGAGGGTTTGGGGTTTAGGGAGGTTCGAGGGTTTAGGGTTGAAAGCTAAGAAGGCTCAGGGGACTCCATGGGTCTTGTGTCAGGATGTACAGGAGTGCCCTTTCCCCCGCTAGGGTTCGGATCCCCGATGAACGTAGTTAGACCAAAAGAAAGGAGGGCAGCCTTTTGTGTTCTCCTGGGATACTGAGCTCGCGCTTCTAGGGCTTGTTGGGTCATGCGGGGGGGGGGGGGGGGGGGGGGATAGGGTTCATCATTTTCGTTTTAGAGGCATGGAGGCTTGGTCAGGTTTTGTTGAGGTTGTTGTTGGACATGTCCCCCCCCCCCCCGCCCCCGTCCCCGGCCGCGCCCCACAGAGACTCCTGGACTCTCAGGGTCTTCCAGACTCTTCATCCGGCTGTTTCCCGAAACCCTAAACCCTAAACCCTAAACCGTAAACCCTAAACCCTAAACCCTAAACCCTAGACCCTAAACCCAAACCCTAAACCCTAAACCCTAAAACCTAAAACCCTAAAACCCCAAACCCTGCAGAAGCCCAAAACCACCTAAAAGAGGATCTCACAACCTGGATCCCTGCCAGGCCTCCACAGCAGTACGAGGCCGTGTCTACGGGCAACTGACACCTAAAGGGTTTAGGGTTTAGGGTTTAGGGTTTAGGGTTTAGGGTTAGTAGGGTTTGGGGCATATAGGGTCCTACCCTTAATTCCGAAACCCTCAGCCTTAACCCCTGAACCCTGAACTCAAAAAGCCTGTGTAGCCCCTCATAACCCATAGACAATGTAGCGTTTCTAGGGCATCCTGCTCCCCTCCAGGGTCGAATGCCGGAGCCGAACTCACTACCAATATGGGGCTTGGGGTTTGAAATGTCTTAGGTCTTTGGACATAGGGGGTTAGGGGTTTTCGGGTTTTAGGGTGCAGGGCTTTGGGGTGTTGGGTCGTTTTAACTTGAAAACAGTGAGTTCGAATCACATAGGTGCCTCTAGTAAGAGGTTGCAGCATTTGGGTTTGGGGGTTCAGGGGTTTAGGGATGTAGGGTGTGGCTGGTTCGAGATGCGAGATCTGAGGCTTCATCTAGGTTTGGGGTGTGAGATGCTGTTGCCTTGGAGCTTCACACCAAAGAGTTTAGGGTTTAGGGTTTTGGTTAAGACCGAAACCACAAACTCGCAAACCGACATCTTTTTCGGTTCTTTCGAAGAACCGGTTGAAGGCTTAGGGTTTAAGGTGTAGGGTTGAGAGAGTCAGATGTTTCCGCCCGAAGCCCAGGGAATGAAGAAGCCAAATTGCGGGAGCGTATCGAGGAAACCCTTTGGGGGTACATCATGTTGTAGGGCTTAGGCATGCAAACCCAGGGTTAGGGTTTAGAGCTTAGGGTTTAGGGTCTAGTGTTTAGGGGTACATCCTTATGGACCCGAGTTTAGATCCTTTGAAAGCTTGTTCAAAATATTAGCTGTGATGGCTTCCGAAGTTAGGCGATGGAGATTTCGATAGGCGTAGGATCTAGGGTTTCATGAGGTCTTTGGGGATTTAGGGTTGAGGACTTAGGGCTTCAAGGCTTCAAGGGCGTTTTGGGTTTAGGGTTTTCGGGGTTGAGAGGGCCTAAACCCTAAACCCTAAACCCTAAACCCTAAACCCTAAACCCTAAACCCTCAACCCTCAACCCTCAACCCTAAACCCTAAACCCTAAACCCTAAACCCTAAACCCTAAACCCTAAACCCTAAACCCTAAACCCTAAACCCTAAACGGGACCCTGCGCTCAGGGGACACTGCCGCCGCCAAGCGGGCCTGTCTCTTACAACAGGGTACTTTCGCAGAGTCGGTCCGACCCCGGCCCCCCAGTCCTACCTCTACAACCCCTGTGTAAACCCTATAAATTCCCCATAAGCCCTATAAAACTCTACGCTCTATAACCCCTACAAACCCTCTAAAGCCCCACAAAGCACCAGAAATCCTGTGAACCCGCAAGCCCTAACCGAGGGCCCCGTGCGTCGCCGCTGCAGCTCGGGCTCCGAGCGTTGCAGGCTCGGGATCTTTGGGGGTGTTAGTCACGGGGATCCTGTGTGGGGTTTAGGGTGTAGGGTTTCGGGTTTAGGGTTTCGGGTTTAGGGTTAGGGTTTAGGGTTTAGGGTTTAGGGTTTAGGGTTTAGAGTTTAGGGGTTACAGGGTGAAGACGTGTCGAGTTTCGTCGCAGAAGGACACCCAGTAAATCTGACTGCAAGATCAAGGTTTAAGGTTCAAGACTCCCCGCAAAAGGGTACCCCCCCCCCCCCCCACAACATCCCCTACTACTTTCTACGTCTTCGAAGGATTTAGGGATGTTTGCCGCTGGCCCAGGATGATGTGGCATTTGGGTTTCGGGCTTGAGGTTTGGCATTGTTTCTTCGCAAGGGTTTCAGGATGTAGGACTCATTAGCAAGTGTCTTGTTGTTTTGGGGCTGTTTTGTTTTTGCTTTCTTTTTGCGCGCGGGGGGGGGGGGGGCAAAGGTTTAGGGTAAGAGTAACAGAAAGTCCAGATCGACGCGAGTCGAGCCTCCGTGCCAGGAAGCAGCTTTCCGCGCTGAATA